CTCATTAAGTTGTCTAGGATGGCCTTGAATTTACGATTCTTCTGCCCAGCCTTCTGAGTTGCTGGGATTACAGATGTGTACCAACATGCCCAGCCTATACTCTCTAGTTTTAATGTTTAAAATTTTCTACAATAAAAAAGGTTAGGAGGGGCTGGGGTTGTGGCTCAGCGGTAGAGCAGTCACTTAGCACATGCAAGGTGCTGGGTTCGATCCTCAGCACCACATAACAATAAATAAAATAAAGATATTGTGTCCAACTACAACTAAAAAAAATATTTAAGAAAACGTTAGGAAAGGCCTGGCACTGTGGCACACACCTGTAATCCCAGCAGCTTGGGAGGCTGAGGCAGGAGGATCACAAGTTCAAAGTCAGCCTGAGCAATTTAGTGAGACTCTATGCAACTCAGCAAGACCCTATCTATAAATAAAATATAAAAAAGGGCTGAGGATATGTCTTAGAGGTTAAGCACCCCTGGGTTCAATCTCTGGTACAAAAAAAAAAAAAAAAGAAAGAAAGAAACGAAAAAGAAAAAAGATTAGGAAGGGCTGGGTTATATCTTTGTGATAGAATACTCGCTTAGCATGTATAAGGCCCTGTGCTTAATTCCCAGCACCATAAAAACAAAACAATAACAAAGGACTTAATACCAAGCACCATAAAAAGAAAACAATAACAAAGGTTAGGAAAAATTAGATGACAACTAAGGCTCCAGGTGAATTTTTCAAAGCCAGTGAACATGTAATAACCTCCTGTGATGCTAAGGAACACATTAAAGTCTGGGCAGGAGCTAGGCCAAGGAGGCAGAGGGTTGGGGGTGTGTTTGGATCTCTTCTTTCCGGGTGATTATTTATCAGCTTTCTAGCCAGTAAGGCAGGAGCCAGGACATCTGCATGGCGCCTGCAGGATGCCTGTGAGGCCTGTGGGAGTACACATGGTTGGTTGAGAGGAGAGTACTTAGCATGGGGCTTGGGCTGGGCAGGGGTTGCCACCTGCATGGGAAGCTACCAGGCAACTGGAGCTGAGGCAAGGGAGCTCCTAAGTCACTCACCCACGACCCTGGTGTCGTAGTAGTCAGGAAGCATCCGTTCACAGAGGGCCACCAAGAGCCAGAAGGCCTCCTCCTCGCTGCCATAGAGCAGGAGCACTGAGGTCACGATGTTCATAGCCTGTGGGGCACAGAGAACAGAAGAGGGGAGGCTCACAGTGCTGGCCACTGAGTAAAACTGTCTCCTCCCCAACACTGGCCTCCTTCTGTCAGCAAGTCTGCCCCTTTAGGGGGGTCTAGCATGCAACAATGAGAAACTGTCCCAGTCTAGCTCTGGGAAATTTGCCAACAGGTAATTTGCAGGAAATCATTTAACAGAAATAGTCATTCAGCTTCTTCAAATTGGGTGAGAAGGCACTGAGAAAACAGAAAAAGTGGACATCAGCAAATAACATTTCCACAGAGTGGTATCTGGCATTGGTGGTGTGATGCATGACTGAGCTGATGTGTAAGTGAGCTGTGTGGCCAGGGCTCTACACATAGGCTACAGCAAAATTGGGCTGATACACAGGATAACATGAAAAAGCCTCAAAGTTGCCAAATTATTTTTAAAAATTATTTCAAGCCAGCAACTGCTCATACAGAATACTAGTCCTATAGAAAGTGAGTTTTGGGGAGTTGATTTCCTTGAAATCCAGACACTACTTAAGGCACATAGAAAGCCATTTTATCTGGTCAAGAAAACGACTGGACGGACACATTCCATTGAATTGGGCGGCTGAGGCAGGAGGATCACAAGTTCAAAGCCTGTCTCAGCAACTTAGTGAGGCCCTAAGCAACTAAGTGAGACTCTCTCTCTAATAAGATATAAAAAAAGGGCTACTATATGGCTCAGTGGTTACGTACCCCTGGGTTCAATACCTGATACTACCCTCCCCCCCCAAAAGAAAAACAACCATTAGATTTCAAGATAAAAGCTGCCAGAAATGCAAACTGACACCATAGTGAGACACTCCATCACATCCATGACTATAAATATCAACAGAACATGGGCTGGAGTTGTGGTTCAGTGGTAGAGCGCTTGCCTAGCATATGTGAAGCATTGGGTTTGATTCTCAGCACCACATAAAAATAAAGGTTCAACAACAACAAATAAAATATAAAAAAAATATCAACAGAGGGGGCTGGGGTTGTGGCTCAGTGGTAGAGCGCTTGCCTAGCATATGTGAAGCATTGGGTTTGATTCTCAGCACCACATAAAAATAAATAAACATACTGTGTCCAACTACAACAAAAAATAAATAAATATTTAAAAAATATCAACAATGTAATAAGTGTTGGTGAGGATGTGGAATAGCTGAAACACTTATGAATTGCTGGTGGGAATGTAAAATGATGCAGGTGCCATGGAAGTATGTTCCTCAAAAAGTTAAACACAAAACTACCACATGGTCTAAGCAACCTTGTCTGGATACATACCCCAAATAACTGAAAGCAGAGGCTCCAACAGCTATTTATATACCCATGTTCATAGCAGAAATAGTCATAATAGTTAAAAGGTGGAAGCCATTCAAGTGTCCATCAACAGATGAATGCATAAACATAATATGGTACATAGCTAGAATGGAGTGTTATTCAGCCTTAAAAAGGAAGGAAATTCTGTCATGTTACACCATGGATATATCTTAAGGACATTAAATGAAAAGCCAGCACGAAAAAACAAATATTTTATGATTCCACTTATATGATGTACCTAGAATAATCAAATTCATAGAGACCATAGGAAAAATGGTGGTAGCCGGGGGCTGGTGGGGAAGGGCAGTAGAGTTAGTGTTTAATGGTATAGAGTCTCATTTTGGGAAGATGAGAAAATTCTGTGGATGAATGGTAGTGATGGTGGCCTAACCATGAGAATGTAATTGATGCCACTGAACTATGTGCTTAATAATGGTTAAAATGATGTCATATCATGTTTATTTACCATAAACATAAAAAGATCAAACACTGGGCTCGGGTTGTAGCTCAGTGGACGATCACATGCCTAGCACTGGGTTTGATTCTCAGCGCTACATATAAATAAATAAAAAAGAAAAGGTCCATTGACAACTAAAAAATATTGAAAAAAAATCAAACATTGCCAAGACTCAGACGAGAAGCAGAAGACAACCTAATATATGACAAGGGGATGAGATGAGAAATTAGTATCATTTTAAAATCATGTCTTTTTCTGCAGTCAGGCTCCTTCTTGTGGGAGGGCCAGGTCACAGGTATATGAGGCCATCATATAGGCCCATGACCTCAGGTGCCTGCTCTTGGAAGCCTCTGGTGGGGAGATGCTGTTTCTGGGCCCCATTAAGCCTTTTTACCTGGCAGTAGCCGATAGTGGGGTTTCGGAAAGCATAGGCAGTCAGCACCCGCCGGAGTGCAGCGATCCCGAGCTCATTCTGGAAGGCAGGGTGCTCAGGCATGGAGCGGTGGAGGTCTCGCTCAATCTCTTCTGTGGCCAGGCTGTACTTCCCCATGGACTTCTCCACTAACTCAGCATAGTAGCCAGGGTGGGTCACCATCTCATTCCAGGCCCCTGGAGAGACATGGGTGGCAGCTATCTTGATTCCTCCCAGCATTTGGGAGGCATTAAGAGCAGACTGGAGACATGAATGCCCCAGATAGGAGAGGTAAACTCTAAGGTCAGTTACAAGGAATGAGACAGAGTTTCCCTTATTGTTCCTGGGAGGGCATTCTAGCTAAAAAGTGGTTGACTTGCCCTCTTAAAATGCTCAGACTGGCCACAAGGTGAATGCTGTTGGAAGCTGTTCCAAAGAAAGGAGGCTGCCTCGGACACCAGTAGAAATGCACACACCAAAATATCCCCTGCCCTTGGCCTCTGCTCCTCAGGACTTGGATCCCTGCACACTCTGTTTCCCCTTTGAGAAACAGCTGGTAGCTCTTACCTTTCCTGACTGACCTCAGGAGGCCTGCCCAAGAACCAGATCAGCTCACGAGAGAACTTTCTTTGGTGCTGGGGATAGAACCCAGGACCTTGGGCATGCTAAGCACATGTTCTACCATAGAGCTGTACTCTTAGCCCATCACATGCAGAGAAATTTGGGCACTGAGAGTGGCTGAGCCAGGGCGGGGGCAGCTAGACCTGACTCACCAGAGAAGAGGAGCCAGAGCTCTCCTCGAAGACTCTCAGGGATGCCCTTCAGGACCAGCTCCCGTGTTTTGGCTGTGCGGTACATGCACATACCACGTCCATACTCAAAGAAGTGGATGTTCCATGACTCCTCCTTCATCTTCTCCTTAGCCTGAAGGGAAAGGAAACCAGAGGGTTTGGGGGATGAAGAGCATCTTGGAGTGCCAAGGCCTAGGTAACAAAGTCCGCTATGCCTTCTTTGAGCAAGGCTTAATGCCCGCTATGTAAATAATCTAGAAAGTGTTGCCAGTAAACTCAGATTTCAAAATGATTACAGATAGAGATGCAGGCAAAGCCCAGGCTGGACTGGATCACACCATCATCCTAAGGTGTCAGAAGATGAGCTACTCAGTGGCAGGTAGCCACATTGGTCAGGAAGGGTGGCTGTCCCCAGAGTCTGCCTTGTCTATCTCACAGTGTTGAGTGTAGCCCTGGGAGGGTGCTGTCCATAGGTCAGCCTGAGAACCTCTGAGGGGCTGAGCTGGTCATGAAGGCACAAACCCAGAGGCCAGCTCCAGCCTTCCTCCTGAGGGCTTGGCTTTGATTCATAGCTGAGATGCTAGCACTCACAGCTTACCCCCTTGGCTCCAAGATCCTCCATGGGAGAGTTTCTCTGGAAGACTTTGAGAAGGCCCTGGGAAGCAGTTGGCACCTCCTGAGCACTGAAATTCTGGTAGCCACTGAGAGGAGAGGATGGGCTGGTGGGCAGTTCTGGAACCTCCTGAGAAGCTAGGAGAGACTAGAAAATAAAACAGGGAAGGGAAAGCACCTAACAACTGAGCCGCTCCATGTGGCCTCTGATGCAGGTTTATCCACAGAGCTGGACAGAGATGTCACTGAGGAAGGGTCATGGGGGGTACATGGTGCCCAAAGGATGGACCTGGCCTGGTTGTGGGGAGGCTATGGCTACAGCCTGCCATGCATTTCCTCTCTGGTTGGCTGGACATCTATATATGTTCTCCCTAAAACCAAAACCACCCACAATGGTCAGTTGGGGCCTCTTTGGGGGAAATGGGTTCTTCTTCAGTGAAGTTGGGTCCTTCTGAGGAAACTACTCCTGGTGCTGCCCGGCCTCTTCCTGAACTCTAGTGTCCTATTATATTAAAAAAAAGGAGGCCATTAGCCTGAGGCTGTCTCAATACTTTAAGTTCCTATGCAATAAACTGCAACCTACATTAACAAACCCAAACCTAATTGAGGAGAGTATGTATCTATCTATATCTAGGTCTAACATTTTACAATCAATAGCCAGGTTTCAGCCAATCATAGGCAGCTGAGCTTCAGTCAATCATAGCAGCCAACCAATTACACCAAAACCCAAATAAGGCAGGTGCCAAGCTGTAGCCAATCAGGTGATTTCTCTGCTTTCTGGGTTGGCCTATAAAAGCTCACTGCTCAGGATGCTGGGTGGAGCTCTCTGAACCACTTCTGGTTTTGAGTGTTACTTGATTCATGACAGGACCACCTATCTGCTTCTGGGTCCATGCATGCCAGGTCTGGGTTTTCTTCTACCCCTTCTAGGATCTCTTTTCCTCTCACTTCCAGGACCTTTCTTTAACAACTGACCCCAGTTCTCAACACCATTTTCTTCCCTTTCCACTGGATTCCTTATTATCAGTATACAATCTTGCTAATAATCACCTCTAAAATCCCACCCTTTTCTTTAACTGGTGTTGCTCACACATTGTGTTCATTTTGTGAAAATTCAACAAGCTGTACACTATGATCTATGTACTTCAGTGCATACAGTCAACCCTTGGTATCCACAGAGAATTGGTTCCACAACCCCTACCCCAAATCAAAGGATGCTCAAATCCCTTTAGCAGTATTTGCATTTAACCTATACACATCCTCCTAGATGACGTATAATACCTAATACAGTGTAAATTTGATGTAAATAGCTATTATGCTATATTGTTTAGGGGAAAAGGACAAGAAAAAAAAGTCTGTAAATGTTCAATATAGAATTTTTTTTCCAGTTCTCAGAATTAAATCCACAGCCCTGCACATGCTAGACAAATGCTCTTCCACTGGGCTGTATCCCCAGTCCTTTTTATTTTGAGATAGCGTGCTGCTAAGTTGCCCAGGCTGGCCTTGAATTTGTGATCCTCCTGCCTCAGTCTCCCAAGTTGCTGGGATTACAGGTGTGCCACTGTACCCTGCTGATTTCTCTATTTTTGCTTTCTGACTGTCATGAAAAAATCAGGTCTCCCTCCCACATATTCCTGCCATGATGTTCGCTGCCTTACCATAGGTCCAAAGCAATGGGGCCAAGTGACCATGGACTGAAAACTCTAAAACTGTGAGCCCAAACAAACCTTTCCTCTTTATAATAAATTGATTAACTCATGTATTTTGTCACTGTGCTGGAAGGAAAGCAGGAAGGAAAAAAGGAAGGAAAATATAAGCTAAGAAGTTAATAGGTTCCTGGAGAATAAAATCATTGATTGCCTTACTTTTATTAACTAAAAATAAAAATATAACCTATAAAATAAATATTGGCAGGAAAAGGGAGGAAAGAAGGAAGAAGAGGATTACTAGATATTTTCAATATTATACATAGTAGGGAACTGACATTATCTTAAAAAGTGGGGAATAAGGAAACTATGTAAAGCTATTAGCACAAACCTAACAGAATATCAATGCAGACTTTCTGAGAGAAAAAAGACTTAATAGAGGAGAAAAGGATATAGTGAGTTTGGGCACCTCTTACTAGAAATTTTGCATTAAGGTCAACAGAGAATAACAGGGGTCACTTTTTTTTTTTTTTTGCAAGGGGTGTTAATTATCTATCCCTCCCTCCATTTTTTTTTTGTACTGGAAATTGAACCCAGGGGCACTTTACCATCAAGCTACATACCAAGCACTTTTAAAATATTTTTAAATTTTGAGACAGGGTCTTGGCTAGTTGCTGAGGCTGGCCTCAAACTGACAATCTCCTGCCTCAGCCTCCTAGTCACTGAGATTATGGCATGTGCCACTCTGTCCAACTTAGCTCATATTTTCACGATACTATATAATTTACTGGAGCCTATATAATTTACATACTGTCCCCTTTATCCCCATTATCTACCTTTATTCCCACACTTAAATATTTTCCACCAGTCCTTATGCCAAAGCTTCCTCATTTCTGATTGTCTGGAGTTTGTTCTCCAAAAGGTTCCTGAAGAAGCTGACCTGGTATCATCTTCAACCCTCCCTTCTTCCAATACCCCATGTCTAATCCACCTGTTCCACTGGGGATACAGTCCAGTGGAAGAGCAGTTGCCTAGCATGTGCAAGGCCTTGGGTTTAATTCTGAGAACTGGGAAAAAATTCTATACTGAACATTTACAGACTTTTTTCTTGTCCCTTTCCCCTAAACAATATAGTATAATAGCTATTTGCATCACATTTACACAGATATACCTTCAAATACAGATATACCTTCGAAATATCTCCCCAAACCATTTCTTTCTTGAACAATCAAAGAAAGAAATCCAGGAAAGCCTACAATTTGATTTATAATAGCATAAAAAAACAACCTACTAACATATTTAGGAATAACTTTGACCATAGAGGTGGAAGACTTGGGCTCTGAAAACTATAAAATGTTGCTGAAACAGATTAAAGAAAAATGTAAATAAATGGAAAAAAATCTCATGTTAATGGATTGGAAGACTCCATATTTTTAAGGTATTGGTACTACCCAAAGTAATCTAATGCATTTTCCTAACACAATCTCAATGACATTTTTTTTTCAGAAATAGAATAAACCATTCATAAATTCTCATGGACCTTCAAGGGATCTGTCTTTATTTTTATCCATTGCCCTTATCACTGCCTGACATATATGTTTATTTAGTGTCTGTCTCACTAGAATGTAAGTCCTAAGAGAGCACAAGTTTTATTTGGTTTGATCACTGTTCTATGCCTGCTGCCTTGAAGAGCAGCTGGTGCCCAAAGGAACTCAATAAAAACATGCTGGATGAACCAGTGGTGAGTGCTTGGAAAAGGCTACACAGTCTGTGCTTACTCTGGGCTATAAGGCCTTGTCCTTTAGTGTAAATGTGATGTAAATAGCTATTATACTATATTGTAAAAGTGAAGGCAGCTCCAGCATCCTGCTCATGTTCCTTTCATGCAATCCAACTTTATCCTTTCTTGAAATCCCAGATTGAGCCCAACCTCCTCTAAGAAACATTTCTTAATGTCTCCTATCAATCCTGATTCTGCCCATTCTTTTTCTATTCTTCATCTACTTAAGAATTTACTGAGCATCTGCCACAGGGGTGGAAAATTTAAAAGATTACATAGACCTGACCAGATGGGCTCTAGAGAGCTGGAGAGCATATGCCATCACTGAGCTCCAATGCTCCCCAGTGAGAATGGGTCCTATGGTGCAGGGCTGCTGTTTCTTTTTTGCTTGCTTTTTATAGTGTTGGGGATTGAAGCCAGAGCCTTTCACATGCTAGGCAAGAGTTCCATCACTGAGGTATACCCATAGCCCTGCTGATTTTTTTTTCAGAAATGCTAAATGTGTGTATTTCTGAAAAAATCTTGCAGTGGTTAAGGTTTTCCACAAATTTAAACTGAATACCAAGAGCAGAATACCCATCTTTATTATTCCAGAAAACAAGGAACCCATCAAAAACTACCAGGATTGTGTCAAAGGAACCAATCAGATTGGCTCAGATAACCAATCTGTGCCAATCTGAATAAGCCCCCTCTGATCACAGATAGAGTAAGAATAATGAATACAAATAAGTAAGAATAATAAATACAAATCAAGTTGTTTATATTCATAGGGTCATAATTACACTAAGAAATAAACATGAAAAACTAATTGGTCATATTTGGAGGACACTAGAAAACCAACTGATCATCATTTTGGCAACTGGTGAATAAAAGGAAAGACTAAAAGATGTATACTGTCTTTCTTATGTGAACTGTGTTTTGGGGTAATCAAATAGTTAACAAGGAAAATTTTCTATTCATAGGAGTATTCCCACGAATGAGGAAAAAATGGTAGAATAGGGTGCTACCACTTTGCAATTTCTAATGAATGGATGGATATGAGCAATGCTCATCAGTGTGTGGTATGCTTCTTGTTGAAGGTACACACTGCCTCAATACTGCCTATAGGTAGACCTGCGCAAAACAAAAATCCATTTATCTTAAATTTGATGGAGGCTCTGGATCTCACTGCTCAATATACTTACAGTACATAAGGGATGAAGGAACTTGTTAAGAACCTGCAGTAGATGCAATCAACAAAATTCAGATGGTGGGGCTAGGGGTATAGCTCAGTTGTAGAGCATAGGCCTAGTATGTGTGAGGCCTGGGTTTATTTCCCAGTACTGCAAAACAAAACAAAAAAGCAGACTGTGAGAGTCTCTATAGTATAAATAGCCCAAATTCTCAACAAAATGCTGCAAGAGAGAAAAGAGAGAGAGAGAGAGAGAGAGAGGCAGAAACTTAAATTGAAAGAGATTTAAAGCTGGGCGTGGTGGTGTTTGTCTGTAATCCCAGAGACTTGAGAGGCTAAGGCAGGAGGATCACGAGTTCAAAGCCAGCCTCAGCATCTTTGTGGGTCCTAAGCAACTCAGTGAGAATCTATCTATAAATAAAATATAAAAAAGGGGTGGGAATGTGGCTCAGTGGTTAAGCACCTCTGGGTTTAATCCCCAGTACCAAAAAAAAAAAAAAGGGGGGGGGTATTTAAGACACATGTGAACCAATTATAATGTACACATGACTTTGGTGTACCTCAATTCAAATAATCAAACTGTAAAAAGTACACCTGCACTTGGAGAAATGTAAACAGTCACCCCTTTGTATCCATGGATTCTTCATCTGTGGAATCAATCAAATACTGATGGAAAATATTCAGAGGAAAAAAATTGCATCTATACTGAACATTGTACAGACTTTTTTTCCTTGTCATTATTCCCTAAACAATATAGTAGAACAACTATTTACATAGAACTTACATTGTAAATCATTGAGATGATTTAAAGCATATTGTAGAATGTGTATAGGTTATATGCAAATACAATGCCATCTTATATAAGGGACATGAGCATCCATCATGTTAGTATTTGGGGGGGGGGTCCTGGATCCAATTCCCCATGGTTACTAAGGCACAGCTATAAAAGTACTTGATGATATTAAGGAATTATTATTAAGTCTGTTGGTATAATAATGATAATGTAGTTAGGCCTTTAAAAAGGAATTTTGGGCTGAGGATGTGGCTCAATAGTAGAATGTTTGTCTAGCATGCTTGAGGGCCTGGGTCTGATCCTCAGCAACACAAATAATAGAGGAGTCTTTCTCTATAAGAGCCTTAGACTGAATGATGAATGAAACAAATATCATGTGAATAAACCCAAGGAAGATAGGCCTTAACAATATGGCCCTTGCTCTCAGTATAGGAGAAGTTCATAAGGGATGGAGATGAGGGTTACTGATCCAGTCGGAGGTTTCTCACTGGGACTTGGCCTTGAGGTAGGCTGGGCAAGAGTGAGGAGGTCTGGAGCGGGTGGACCAGGGTACAGATCAGGCAGCATTGTGTATGGTGCCTTCCAGCCTGAAGCCCACAGCAGGCACCATAGGGGTCAGGCTTAGTGAGGAGGCCATGGATACCCTGGCCCTTCCCAAGTCCTAATTCGAAACTGGCTGCTTCCAAGGGACCTCCCTCACCTCTGGAGCTGGGTCTGCAACACTGGCTTTTCTTCCATCTGGCTGCTTGGATGGTGTTTTCTGGAGGAAGTCTGAGATCCTTTGAACCAAGAAATCGCGGTCTTTTAGGTTGGCAAACAGGAAGGTCATTTTACTCTTGGTGCTGATAGACAGAGGGCTGGGCAGGACGCTGGAACTGTCAGCTTTTTCGACAATGGTCACCTAAGAAGGCAAAATCAGTCTTGGGCATTTTCATCTTAGCCTGTAAGGAGGGGTGTGCTTTGTGAGAAAAGCACAGTGAGAAAAGCATAGTGGTCCTAGGGCTATCCTCCAGGGCACAAAGCCATAAGTGGCCCAAATGGATTCAGACCTCAACTCTGCTGCTTCCTGCATGTGACCCCGAAAAAGGCACTTGCAAATCTAACTCTCTCTTTTTGTCTGTTGACAGGGGTGAGTATTCTGGTCCTGCAGGACCTTACAAGGATGATGATATAAAATGTTAAGGACTCAGCCCAGCTGCTGCCCCCTACTGGCTTCTCAAAAGACTATCAGTTACTTCTCTCTAAAGCAGAGCAAGCAGCTCCTCCCTGCAAGTCTGTCCTAAGGAACATGTTTTGACAACTTGTCTGGAGCCTGGTTCTGACTCCCTTTGAGGTGTGAAGAGAGCTACATAGGGATAAAAGGCATGGGACAGAAAAGGGACACAGAAGCTAAGCCTAAGCACTAGGAGTAAGTGCTGGCAACAGACAAATGAAAGGCTACTGGACTGCTATGCACTAGACACCTCCAGAGAGGCAGTGAGTGCCCAGTGAGTGCAGAGATCTCTGGGCACTGATGCCCTCCAATATTGAGTGACATGTCACACACTGCCCAGTTCAGTGTGTGACATAACTGTATGCATGTGCATGTGTGTGTATGTGTATGTCATATGTGTGGGAGCATGTCTATGTGTAGTATGTGTATGTGGTACATGTGTTATGTATAATTGGGTATGTGTGCATGGGGTGGGCATGCATGAATGAGTCTGAAAGCCATGCATGATGGCTCACTGAAGGCCTCGCAGGTCACAGGAGGCAGTTGGGGATTCTTCTGACCTTAAAGATACATTGGAGGATCCTAGGTGGGATGCCACTATCCTCTGATTGATATTTCAAAATTTGTTGGCTGATGTGGGAGGATGTGTCCAGTGAGTCTTGTGGTACAGTGGGTGGATGTCACATGCCTGGAGAAGAATGCCACACTGCTCTTCCCTGAGAGGGGTTAGGTGGGGATAGAACCTCCCTGATGTGGCCTGTGCAGATGATGTCCCAGGTGGTGGCCATGGAGAGGAAGGAATGGGCTCTGGAGAGAGGGCTGACAGGATGTCTGTCAGGATATCTGGTCAGGATGCAGGAAGGTGGAAGAGGTCAGAATTCAAGGATAACTCCCACTTCCTGAGGGGAGTGCATGAAGAGCACAATTGGAGTGAAATCCAAGAGCCCATTAGACATTCAGAGGACCTGTCCTAAGCCAAGGGTCCCCTGGGAGCTCCCTTGCTGGGGCATCATGGAGCAGGTATTAAGGATGGTCAGTGCTGGCCAGACCAATCTCCTCCATGACCATCCACAGAGCTCTGACCCAAGAACATGGATCTAGTCTCAGTCTATTTGATCCCATGGGGCCTGAAGGGCCTTTGACCCTTGACCAGAGAATGCTTACCTCCCTTAGGGGTATGATGAGGTGGCACGCATCCTCCTCCTTGCTGGCAAAGCAGATATAGTTATTGGAGATGAACATCTGGCCTGGGATGTGCAGCTTGTTGAATGGCGTCCACAGGGTGCAGCTTGTGTGGCCATCCAGACGCTCATCCCTGGGCAGCCGGAATGTGGCCCGGTAACACTCATTCTTGGCTCGGGCATCTAGGTCTCTAAGGAAACAAGGTAGGAAAAAGTGGGACAAGAGTCAAGGCCAACAGGAGGCCACAGTTTTCCATGTGGAATTCAGGATCCTTGGGGTTCTACAGTAAACAAATCATGCCTGGAGATTTTAGAATTCAATTAAAGATGCATGTTAAGCCAGGAATGGTGGTGTACACCTTACCAGTGGCTCAGGAGGCTGAGGCAGGAGGATCCCAAGTTCAAAGATAGCCTCAGCAATTTAGCAAGGCTGTAAGCAACCTAGTAAGACCGTATCTCTAAATGAAAAAAGGTTGGGGATGTGGTTCAAGGGTTAAGCAATCCTGGGTTCAATCCCTGATACGTTAAAAAAAAAATAAAGATGCACGTTAAATGACCAAGTAAAATATGGAACACTCATATGACCAGACAAAAAATGGTAGCACATAACATGTCCTTTCAAAGGACATCTGGAGGCTGACCTGGGCAGTGTGTGACATGTCACTCAGTATTGACGGGCGGCAGTGCCCAGAGATCACTGCCCCCTGCCTGACTCATACCCAGCATGTTACTAGGCCTGAAGCAATGTCTTCAGCCTGGGAAGACTTCACATGCCTTGAAACCTAGACAAGTTCTCCTAATGGGGAGAAGAGGAATTAAAACTAAACCATGTGATAGCTGTGCTTAAAAGAATCTTATTTGTAAGTCTGATGGCGATGGGAAGTGGCCTGGCATCCTGGCCCTCATCCCTTTTGTGACTCTGTCCACATAAACATCTCTCTTCAGTCCCAAGAGAGCCTCCCACTTGCCTTGGGCTTATGGCAGACTGACCAAAGAGTCTGACCAAGAACCCTAGCTGAGAGTGCTGGAAACTGCCAAGTTCCAGCCCTGCTTGTTTTCTTTCTGGAAGGTCCTAAAGGGTATTCCATCACTTGTATCAAGAGAATGACATCTTGCAAAACATTCTGATCTGGAAGGTGCACTGTGGGCCTATACCATGATCTGTGAATGAAACCTAGGAAACAGGGTGGCTGGGATGAGGTCTCTGAATACACCAGTGTGAATCTGTGTATGCCCACCATAGCTGTGGTACTTGGAAACTTCTGAGACCTTGGCCAGTCTTGCAGGTTTCTCATGAGGCTACAATTTTGGGACTCAAACAAAAGTGATCTGTAGAGGCCAGCCACCATGATCTATCTCTCTACCAATCCCCAGAGGACATTGGTGCTCTGACTGCAGTGACACTAGACCTGCACATGGTACATTTCCCCTGCTGGCTTCAGACTCCAGAGGCCTGGGCCCATGGTTATGAGGGTCTGTCTGGCCAAAGGTCTGGAAGAGAACTGTCCATCTCGATGGGATAGAGGCTATATACCCTAATTCACTAAAGCTTCCAAGACATAGCCTCCTCAGGGTCCTCAGAGCACCCTGAGATGGTTCACATCCTGGCTTGACCATTCACCAGCTGACAGACCTCTCTGCAACTTAGGTCTCAGACCAGGACACTAGGGATGGTAAGAGTACCTTCCCATTATAGGGCTGTGAGAAGGAAAGTGGGAGGAAACTTCCACATTAGTGGTATCTGTCGTAGTTCCTAGAGATACTGGTATTGGAGGCCAATATCCCCCCCAATGCGATACTGCAATGACCTGTTTATCTGGCCTCCTTCTCAAATGGGGAACTTATGAGGGCTAAATGCAGAGATTCTTTCTAGGTCTGCACATTCAGTCAAGTGCCAAGCAACAGGCAGGGTCAGTGGATCTGGATTAGGTGTGCCCACTCTTACTTGCTGTGGGACCCTCCTGTCCCCTGGGAGGGTAAAGTACCTACCGCTTCAGAGCTGAGATGTTTCTGTGTGGCCGGATGGGCCTGGGAAGGGCCTTATCCTCCAGAAAGCCCTTGTTGTCTAGCAGCTGCCGCATCGCCAGGTTGGCCAGCTGCTCCATGAGCTTGAAGGTCTCACTGATGTTAAGGAACATGGAGAAGAAGAGCTCCTGGTCCCGTGTGTCCACACGGATGCTCTCAGGGAAGAGCAGCGTGGCATTCTTCTCCAGGCGTGTGACGTCCACCCACTGTACCACAAGACTCACTGGACACCAACAACGCAGATGCCCACTGATTACAACTGAACAAGGTGAAGTTTCCTGATTCTCACTTGTTCCTAGAACCCCCCAGAGGGAACTGCTCCTTGAGGACATCATTTACTCCTCAGTGCCTGAGCCTGGCTGTGCTGGGACACAAGCTCCATGCGGAGCGACTGGGCCACAGGGATCTCCACTGCCTCCCAGACCAAACACACTTGATGAATATTTGTTCCATGAATGACTGAAGAGTGAAAAGAACAAATGTGCAGAGGTGAACTAGCTGAGACTCTGGCCCTAAGGAGCTCCACTGACTGGGACTACAGTGATATGTGAACCAAGTCACCACATGGTACGGCCAAACACGGGGAAGGACACTGGCCCCTGCCTCACAAGGAGGTGAATGATCATCACAGTCCTGACAGGTAAGCAGTAAGGGCAGGAAGGCAAAGGGCGGCTGTGGAAAGGAGGTGTGGAAGGAAACAGCAATGACTCCTGAAAACTGTGAGCAGCTCATGGCCTAGGAGCTATTTCTGGGGGTGGCAACTACAGCAGAAGGAGCTGACTGCTAAGCCAGGGACTGTGGCTTGGCATGCTGAAGCCACTGTATCCATCAGGGAGGGACCGCAGCAGGTGCATAACCTGGAAGTACTCAGGGAAGATGTATGCCCTTCAATAGGCTGACTCAAACAAAATGTAGAAGGCCTGTAAAGTCAGCATGTAAGAATCTGACTAGTGGGTTGTAAACGTGGTATGTCCTGCTCAAAGCAGGTGTGCCTGGGGTGTGCCTGGCTCAAGTCTGGGTGTTCCTGTCATGAATTACTAAGGTGGCATCTGGGTTGAGAGGAGGGAAACCCACCAGGGATGCTGGCAGTCTGGAGAGGCAGGAAACTGCCCAGAGGCAAGGTCAGAATAGCCAGGGTATAGAGGAGCTGAGGATGAGGAGGGGCTGGGATGAACAGAGTTGAGGGTGAAAACTTTGCCATGATGCAAGAGGAATGGCACCCCCTGGTTGCACCCACTTGCCTCAGCTGGCGCTCACCTTCCTTCCCCAGCAGGAAGGAGTAGAAGCACAGGTGGTTGACAGTCAGGTAGAGCCAGCCCTGCCGGGGCACTCGGCCTTTCCAGTAGCTGCATGAATAGTAGTTGACTAGCTTCTCCCCCTCAGGCATCCCAAATTGCTTCCTCATCTTCAGCTCGGCCTCCTTGAATTTCCCAGGGTCCTCATCTCCCTGGGGCTGCAGGTTCTTGTTCTCTTCTGCAATGATACCCTGGAGGGAGATAGTGGGACTTGGGCTTACCACATATACTCCTGGCCAAGTCAAAGGGAGGAGCAGAGAGGCCCGGGGAACTCAGGACTCTAGGACTTTCGTTTAAGGGAAATAGGCACAGGTAGACGACAGTTGGTAGCTCTCAGGGAAGGAGGCAGCTGTGCTCTGGCTTGTTTGCCATCAAGGGACATGGATGACAGAAGCCACCTGTGAGCTCTGAGCAAGTTTCCAGAACTTCCTGGATTACCCTCATCATTGGCTCTGAGCAGTGACTTTTAAAATAAACCCATTTTAGTTTAATGTAAACTTGTTAAAATATATCATCCATAAACATGGTTTAAAAATGTAAATTCATGTTGAGCATCCTTAATCTGAAAATCTGCAATCTGAAATGCTCCCAAATCCTAAACTTCCTGGGTGCCAGCATGATGCCCCGAGTAGAAAATTTTACACCTGACTTTATGTAATAGGTTGCAGTCAAATCACAGACACCCTAAAAATATTGTGTGAAATCACCTCCAGTCTGTGTACATAAGGTGTATACGAAACATAAATGAATTTTGTATACATGATTGGGTCCCCTTCCCAAGATACTCATTATGCATATGCAAATAAGCCCAAATCTTAAAATATCCAAAATCTGAAACACTTCTGGTTCCAAGCATTCTGGATAAGGGATGTTCAACCTATGGTAGAAAAGTGTAAAAAGTTAGTGAAAGAGGAGTCTCCCTCCCTCGCCTTCTAGCCACCTTCCTGGTTTCCTCCAGACATGCCACATACATGCATCCATTGTTTTTCTCTTTTCTCCTTTCTTTGCCAAAATGGGATCCTCTGTGGCACTTTCTTTGAAGTGCTTTGCTCTCTCACACCCTGGAGAACATTTTTGCATTGACTCCCTGTACTCCTGGGGACACTGATCTGTCCCCACCCCAGATCAGTGAGTTGACTCATGATCCCTTCACTGTGCTTGGGTGCCCACAGGCATCACTCTGGACCATAGGCCAGCCCCAAACCTCCTGGGACAGGTTCTCAGCCAACTGGTTCCAAATGTACATGCTGATTTCCTAGGACAATTCCTGGATTTACAAAAGCATTTAAAGGCCAGGGCTGGTGGCCCGCCTGGTGCTTTTCTGGGTTTCTTGGTTGCCTTATGTCCCTCTTTCCACAGGCAGGAAAGATAGCCATGAGCCCAGGCAAAGATCCCAACATGAGGTCTACTTTGATTCCTTCCATTTCTCAGTACTATTGTTTGAAAATGTTCCCCAGAAATCATGTGTTGGAAACTTAATCCACAAAGTCATATGTTAGTTGTATTTGGAGGTGCAGCCTTTGAGAGGTTTAGATGAGGTGATGAGTGTGGGGCCCCATGAGGGTATTAGTGGCTTTGTAGAAAGAGGAAAGATATTTGCTCTGTCTCTCCATGTAATACCCACCACCATGTTATGAAGCAGCAAGAAGGCCCTCATCAAATGTGGTCCCTTAACTTTGAACCTCCAGAACTGTGAGCTGAATAAACCTTTTTTATTTATAATTCACCCACTTTCAGGTATTTTGTTATAGCATCAGAAAGCAGAATATGGCACTTGGTTTAACTAGAAAGGAAATCAAAATATGCAAACCTAGGAAAAGCTTTCTGCCTTCTCTTCTCTGTCTAAAACACAATATAAATTTTCCTTTACTAGAGACAACTCAACTTACCAGCTGAGATGACACCAGAGCACACCAGAGGCATCTGTTAACAAACCTCCTTCCTGTGGTTCCTACCCACCCCCCAACATTACCCTCACTTTTTACCCTTGGAAGCCTAAAATCTGGTTCCTTTGTCCTATTGTTTCTCTTTAAATGTACTGTTTATTTATGAGGGTGTTTCATAAACCCAAGTTCTAACTAAACCATCCAGCTGTTCCTCCCTGAGTTTTTCCCTTGTGTTCATGAGATATACATGATGATAAACTTCAGTTTATTTTTCTTTTGTTAAACTTGTCTTTTGTTATAGATCTCCGGATAAGAACCTAAAAAAAGCAGAAGAAACATTTTTTTTCCCTCTCAAACCAGCACGCCATAGCTGCTATTAAAACATTCCCACTCTCTCAATCTGTCTGTGGTGCCTCCCAGATGCTCCTGTAGGAAGTAGCTCTCCCTCTGGGAATATAGCTCCCTTCTTATTTCTAAGGCCTGCCTTTGTTTTCTCTTGCCCTCAGTTCCATCCCATTGGAAGATTGGGAAAGTGCCTGCTATGGTTTAGGAAAGTGTTCCCCAAAGGCCATAATGTGTTAAAGATTTGGTCCTACTGGGAGCTGGTAGAACCTTCAGGAGGTGGGGCCTAGAGGGAGGTTCTTAGGTTATGCAGGGGGTGCCTTCACAGGGGATTATGGGACCCTGGCCTCTTCTTTCCCTTTTGCTTCCTGGCTGATGGTGTAATGGTTTTGTTTTGCCACACAATCCTGTCATGATGTGCTGCCTCTCCACAGGCCCAAAGTCATGGGGCTATTGACCATGGACTCTGGAAACTACAAAACCGTGGGCCAAAATAAATCTCTTTCTATAAGCCAATCACCTCATATTTTTCACTGTAGTCATGGAAAGCTGACTAACACAGTGCCCACCGGTAGAAAGCACAAGGCAGCCCCAGACAGCCTTGGTGGGCCAGCCATTGCTAACAGGTCCTGGCCAGGTGGTCATCATTGGCTGCCCTGCCCCTTGGGCCACCTTTCTAGATCTCAGTTGGCAGTTGCCGCTCTTTCACTCCCTTCAGCTGCTCCTGGGAGATGCCAGGCAGGAAGCAGTGGGGCTAGCAGTGACCTACTCTGCATTTTCCTCTGCATTCCCCACTGGAGAGCCACACCCTGAGCCTTTGGGTGGCTTTCCAGCCTCTACTGGGGGTATCAGTCTCTGCCAATAGGGATTAACCAGCCTGGCTCACAGGGAAGCTGCAGGAATGATTAAGGAGTTTGAGATGGGGAGATGATCCTAGATCATTTGAGAGAATACAATATGATCACAAGGGTCCTCATAAAGAGACAGGCAAGAATGAAGGAGCCACAAGGAGATGACAATAGGAAGAGAGGAGAAGAGAGAGGGAAAGATTGATTCCTCTGAGGATGTTATACTTCTGGCATTAAAGATGAAGGACAGGGCCAAGAAGCAAGGAATACAAGTGGCTTCTACAGGCTGGAAAAGGAAAGGATACAGATTCCCTTAGAGCTTCCAGAAGGAACACAGTCCTACTAACACCTTGACTTCAGCCCAGAAAGATCACTTTAAACTTCTGACCTTCAGATAATAAATTTGTGAGTTTATTTATTTATTTTTGCAGTGCTGGGGATCAAACCCAGGCAAGTGCTCCACCACTGAGCTAAGCCAGCCTAATTTGTGTTGTTTTAAACCATCAGGTTCATGGTAACTTGTTATAGTAGCAATTGGAAATGAATATGTATTATTTTTAAAAAGCATCCATTTTGTCAAAATTCTTAAGTTTATTGGTTTAAAGCTATTTATGGTATTGGTATTGTTTCTTTCTCTCTCTCTCTCTCTGCTGCTGGGAATTGAACCCAGGGTTTCACACATACTGAGTAAGTGCTCTCCCACTGAGCTATATCCACAGCCCTGGCTCCTTGTTTTTTAAACAACTGCTTCACTAGATATGGAGGTCCCATCTGTAATCCCAGCAGACTTGGGAGGCTGAGACAAGAGGATCATGAGTTTGAGGTCAGTCTCAGCAACTCAGATACTTAGTGACTTAGTAAGACCCTATCTCAAAAAATAAAAAAGCCTGGGGATACATATAGCTCAATGCCCCTGGGTTCAATTCTAGTATCTAAAACAAACAAATAAATGCTCTGCTTCTGTGTAAGTGCTCTTCATATTCAATTTCCAACATTGCTTACTGGAGGGTACACTCTTGAGTTCTGAGTCACTTTGCCACAGGCTTTTTTCTATTTTGGGTTGCTCTTCTCTTATTCCCTTGTTTTCTAAGGAATTAACTTTGACCCTTTCTCACTTCCTTCTGTCTCATTTCCTGGAATTCTTTTCTAACCTACTGAATTGGACATCTGGCTCATTAACTTTCGTTCGTTCTTCTTTCATGAGATTAAAGACTTTAAATTTCCTTCTATGTACTGCTTTTGGTGCATCCCATAATTCTGATGTATATAGTAGTATTTCTATGATCATTCAGCTCTACATTTCCTGATTTCTATTTGCTATAGTTTGGATCTTAAATGTCCCCCAAAGGCCCATATGTTAAAGGCATTACAGGGAGTGTGGCACTACAGGGAGGTGATGGAACATTTAAGAGGTGGGGCCTAGTAGGAGATCTTCTGGTCTTTGGGGGTGCGTCCTTGAAGGGGATATTGGGACCCCTGGCTTCTTTTTCTTTTCTTTTGCATGAGGCAAACAGCTTTGCTCTGTCATGCCTTCCAACCATGATGTGCTGCCACTATCCCAAAGCAACTGGGTCATGGGCTGAAACTTCCAAAACTCTGAGCCAAAATAAACCTTTTCTCTTTACAAGTTGACTATCTTAGATATTTACTTACAGTAACAGAAAGATGACTAACAGACCATTTGTTCTTTAACTTTATGTCATTAAGAACTTTTGTTTTGCTGATGAGTTTGTTTATAGAGGCATCAGGTATGTTTCTATTATTATCATTGCTCAACTTTCTTGCTGGGATAGTAAAGGCTGGCCTCTGACTTCTTTGCCTGTTTTTTGCCTGTTTTCCTGGAATAGAAGGCAACATGGGTCTTGAACTCCAAACTGCACAGAGAAGAAGAGCTGAGAAATTAGACCTGTCTCCACAGGTCTACAAAGGTCTAGTATCACAGATTTATAAGGGCTGCCTAAAGTGACTTGGAACCATAAACTGTGATCTAGTAAGAGCCTCCAGGAAATCTAATGTAAGGCAATAATCTAACAGAAAGAAGAAGACATTTAGATAAATGCTCATGATAGGGTTAATCTTCCCCAAAGAGAAAATAACCTAAATATTACCCTATCAGTTTATCAATGTCACAATTTTTGTAATTATTATTTTTATGGCTGCAAAATATTCCAGTATGCATACCATGTATGCCTTAATAAGTTCACCGAAAATAAAGCACTTAGCTAACCAAGCATATAAAAAGTACTCAGTAAATCCTAGCAAGTATTACTACTCTTATTTTTTAAAAATATTTTTTAGTTGAAGATGGAGAGAATATCTTTATTTATTTTTATGTGGTACTGAGGATTGAACCCAATGCCTCACACATGCAAGGCAAGAGCTCTACCACTGAGTCACAACCTCAGCCCTATTACTCTCATTTTTCAGAGGAGAGAATAGCTGTTTTTCTCTCTTATCATTGGCATGGAAGGTATTTTTTCAGTGTTTTTGCTAATTCAGCATTGCAGGGACTATCCTTATATATGTGTCATTCTGCATATATGAATAAACTATAGGGTAAACTCAAAGGAATAGATTTCCGGGTAAAGGATATGTGCCTTTAAAAATAATGTTAGTTATTTCATTTCCAATTTCTTCCTGTTAGTCAAGGTACTGGAAAACACAGTTGTATAGCTGCATATTTGTTCTAAGGCACTTTACAAGAAATAGAAACTTTAAGCTAAGCTTTGTTCTGACTGCAATGGCTATTCAGGATAAGAAGGGGCTTCATGGGTACATTAATCAGCTTTCTGTTACCATGACAAATACTTGAACTAATCAATTTATAAGGAGGAAAGGTTTATTTTGGCTCATGATTTCAGCCTATGGTTCCTTCATCATGTTGCTCTGGGCCTATGGTGGCCCAGTGCTTCACAGTGGGGAGCATGTGGTGGAGGAGGCTTTGTGGAGCCAGGAAGCAAAAAGAGAAGAGGGGCCACGTTCTCAGTATCCCCTTTCAAGGGCACACTGCAAATAACCTAAGTTCCTCTCACAAAAGATTCCACCACGTCCTAATAGCATTACAGGTTGGCAACCAAGCCTTCAACACATGGGTCTTTGGTGGATAGTCAAGATCCAAACTATAATAAGGAGCAGTGTGTTCAACTGCATCTTACAAATCTAGGAGAATGAGAGCAGTCATTTTAATTTCCATCTCTGTAAAATGGGAATAAAATCTAGCTGTTTGGGGCTGGGGATGTGGCTCAAGCGGTAATGTGCTTTCCTGGCATGCGCAGGGCGCTGGGTTTGATCCTCAGCACCACATAAAATAAAGATGTTGTGTCCACCAAAAACTGAAAAATAAATATTAAAAATTCTCTCTCTCTAAAAAAAAATCTATGTTGTCTGAAGATAAAATAATATAAACAGTTGTACAGACAGGGGATTGATTCCAGGACTTCCCACAAATACCCAACTCTTTACATGTGCAAGTCCCTTACATAAAATATCACAGAATTTCCATATAATCTATGCACACCTCCTGTATACTTTAAACTATCTCTAGATGATTTATCATATCTAATGCTATATAAGTGCTATATTGCTATGCTATTTTTTTTAAGGAACAATGTCATGAAAAAAGTCTACATGCTTAGTATAGATGCATTTTCCCCCCAAATATCTTCAAATTGTGGTCGGTTGAATCTATGGAAGTAGAACCAGAGGTCAGAGAGGCTGACCATGTATGAACACTGCCAGCCAGAGAAGGGGAGCAAGAATTGCTAAAGAAATGTAAACCTTACATGTATCTTGCCCTTGACGAAGGTGGTGATATCTTCCTCATTGTCAAAGATGGATAGTGTCTGAAGCAAGTTGTTTTCCAGCCATTCCCAGTGTTTTGTGATCTCTTTACGGGAAGAACCTAGGAGGAAGGGTTTGGCGAAGAAAAGAAAAATCATAAAATCACAAGGTCTTAAACATAAATTCAAAGAAGAGATTAAAAATGAGTGACCTAGTTTACTATTTAAATGACTACTATCTTCAAGATGCTTGTTGATCTTTTCTTTCTTAAACTTTATATGTATACAACAAAAGTAATAAACAGTGCTGGTAACACACACACACACATACACACAAAAACAAAACAAAACAAAAAACAAAAAACCTAACCAACCACCCAAACAAACAAACAAAAATAAAACACCAAGCAATTTAGTAGAGAGCCATGTGGGAGACAAAGCCTTCCCTCCCTCCCTCCAATAGTGGTGATCATCACTGGTCTGTTTGTGTCACCCTAGAAACAGCTATGCATCTGAGAGCTTCCTAAGTGATCATGGTTTTTCTTCAAGTTGAAAGAATTTAATGTGGTCTTTGATATGGATGTGATTATCTGACACAATCAGACTTTTTAGAAGTAGTTTTAGCACTCTCCTGAAAATTCAGGCATCCACAGATGCCAACTGGAACTTCCAAAGGGTGTGAAGCCCCTGGCCAGCTGGGCTCTGCTGGGAAAGGAAGTAGTTACCAACCCTTTTCAGCTTTTCCTGGCTGATCTTCTCCCCTAGTGTCTGCCCCTCCATCCCAGGAGTTATCCCTATCCTTTGCAGAGAGGGGCCCTGGAGACTTAGCAGACCTAGTGGTAATGGAAAAATTCAGAGAAGGCAGCACGATGCCATTCCTAAAGGATGGAAGACTGTTTGCTCCCATAAAGGACCTAGAAGAGCAGCCCCAAGAGGAGATACAATGGGCTGAGAAAAGGTCTCTACTGGGCCTGCTCCCCCTACCCTTGCCACTCCACTTTTGGCTTGGGGTATGCAGTCAAAAATTGTTTTATAAATAAATGACCATAAGGATAAGAAGAGAAATGAGCACTCTGGACCCTTTTTAGGTGTCCTGCTTGGACACCCAAGCAGATCAAGTTAATCATGTGGCCTACAGCAAGGCCCACAAAATTGGTATGCGGGGAGTCTTAGCTAGGAAGCAAGTCCAGTTTGACTGTAAATCAGACTTTTTTTTAATGGTAGGAATTGAACCCAGGGTCTTGTGTTTGCTAGTCAAGTGCTCTACCACTGTGCTACATCCTAATCCTGAATCAGATATTTTTGCTAGGGCACCTATCCTTGGTTACCCCATCCTTCCCTATCTGGCAACATTATTTCACCAGCTGAGCATGTGGCCCTGATCCCATTCTGGCCAGAATAGGTTGGTCCTCACCACCTCCTCCAAGCCACTGTACCTGCTCATTGCTCTGTCACAGCTTGGCCTGTCTAGGTTAGGGTTGATTTGTCTGTTTTTTGGCATCTGCTCAAGTGGTCCATATAACAAGCAATTCCACAGGAAATATCATTCTCAAGTAGAATAGGATGACCACATGAAAACAACTGCCCCAGCATTACACAATGTACAATGAGTCACACCAGGCAAAAAATTCCCCTGGAAGTTCCTTAAGTCATCCCAAACTATCTTGACTTTCTCCCCCCATTTTTCTTTGGATTCAATTTTACTTCCTTGACCTGTTGTACAAAGGCCACAATCTAGTTGGTAGGGGCAGGATTTCTTTCTTTTTCTCTCAGTGAATTTTGAAGATAAGTTTACATATGATGCAAACTCTAATGTATCATTTTAATTTACACATACATTTCTGGCAGTCTTAAACAGAAGCAATCTTTTTTGCTGTATGCATTTTAATTAAAAATGTTTATGTTTGTTTGTTTTGCAGTGCTGAGGATCAAACCTAGGGTTTTACACATGTGAAAGTGTTAGAGGTGGCCTTATATGCTCTACCATTGACTATATTCCCAGGCCTGAATGTGCATTTAAAAGGATTATTAGTTAAAAGTAACTCAAATTTCTTCTAATACTAAAGAAACACTTACACGGTGTCATCTCTGTGAGGCATTGGGAATAAAAGGAATGGAATAGCTAATTGGATTATTAAGTACTATTTGTGTTTCCAGAGCTTCCTGTGGATTATCTTTTTTCATTTTTAGAACATCTTGAAGACAGGTATTATTATTTTCATTTTATTTTGTTTATTTATTTGTGGTGCTAGGAATTGAACCCAGGGCTTCATGAATGTAAGGCAAGCACTCTATCACTAAGCCACATCCTCAGTCCTATTATTTTCATTTTAAAGGATTAAAAGATGAAGCTGAAGCAGAGGGTTAAGTAAGTTATACAAAGTCACACAGCAGGGAAGTAAGTAAACCAGAATCCCAGGACTAGTTGCCTGGCTGTAGTGCCTGCCCTTACCTTGGGGAGCTCCCAGTCTAACAGGAGAGACTTACATATAAAAGTGCTAGTGGAGACTTATCAATTCCAAAGGAGTAAGAAGGAAGGATAGCTTACATGGGTGTGGGGAATCTGGGAATATTTTCTAGGAGGTGACAATTGGGCAAAGTGTCAATAGAGCAGAGGGAAGTTTGGTGGATGTGGGAAGCACTGTGCACAGTAGCCAGGAGAGGTGTGGTTAGGAACTGCAAGCCCTGCAAGTATGTGGCCTGTGTGAAAGTCAGCTGTGAGCTGGGAAAAGGAGGTCAGAGGGGTGGGAATGTAGCTCAGTGGTAAAGCACTTACCTAGCATGCATGAGGCCCTGGGTTTGATCCCTAGAACTGGAGGGAGGGATGGAGGAAGGGAGGGATGGAGGGAAAGAGGGAAGGGGGAGTAGGTGGACCCCTACCTACAGAATCATGTCTGACCCAGCCCAGACGCAAGGAGGGAGGCCCAGGCAGAAACCAGGTCAGCTTGTGGTCTGATGTTGGGGAAGTCAGGGTGTGGTATGAAGCTAAGGACTGGGACTCTGCAGCATGGCCAGTCTCTTCTTAGAATGAAGCTCTGCTGTCACCAAAGGGACTCCTATGCTGCAGCATCATGCTCTTTTCTTCCTGTCCTTGGGGCTGCTCTTGCAGTTACAGTCCCCTCCTCGTCTACATCCCAAGAAGGGGCATTATTGAGACTGAGACGACCATCTTCAGCACCCATTTAAAAGTATCCGGTCTCCTTGTAGCCCAGGCACACACCAACAAGTTCTTGCTCTAGGGTGGTCCCCACCGTATAGGAAGCCCCTTTTTCCTGCAGGCAAATCCTCACTGTCTCCCAGAACCCTACTCTGGCTCTTGAGCCAGCATATCTAGCGTACTGTTAGGCTTTGTAACTTTGGTGTTGAGCAAACTCTCCTTTTTTTAGTGGTGCTGAGGATTAGAACCTAGGGACTCCTGCATGCAAGGCAAGCACTCTATCAACTGAGCTGTATCCCCAGCCAGAGCAAACTCTTCTTTCTAACCCTTATTAAGTCTATTTAATCAGACAGAGGAGACAATAGGTCACTGTTGTTCAGGGTGATGATGAGGAAGAAAGACCACCCAGGGCAAAAGTGCCCACCTGGTAAGAAGCAGCTGCTTCTGGGTTGCCACCTTCCTTGGGTACTTATCTCCTTGATCTTCTTCACCCACCTTCTGAAGCACGGTTCCAGTTATAAGGTCCACAAACTTGCTAGTCTCATTATCTTTTCCAGGCCTCTAAGGAACACCATTAACCTGGAGGACCTGGATACTGTCACTTCTATCCCAAAGGGTGTTTCAGCACAGTGGTTATAGGGGCAGGCAATCTGGGTCTGAACTGCAACTCTGTGTGACTTCAGACATTTTTCTTAACCCCTCAGTACCACAGTTTCCTCATCTTCAAAACAGGGCCAATGTTCTTGTGAGGGAGTAAGGTAAGGGCCTAGCCACACTGGAAGTGCTGTCTGAGCACTGGCTACAAGTGTTATTTTATCAGAGCAACCTTATAACTGTCATTTTATCAGAACAACTCTGGTCTAGTCAGTGCCCACTGAAAGGGAAGTTCCCCCAACATTCTTGGGAAGGGTGGGTTCACTTCCTCCTTGTACAACTCCAGTGGATTCTCATTATTCATGGTAGATTTTAAAGTCTGTAGTTCCTTGAGCACTGAATTAATACTGGACTACTATGCCAAGGGAAATGAAAGGGTAGGCTCTTACCAGCCTCTGATCATGTTTTCATCAACCAAGCAATACATAAATTTGTTTTATGTGTTTCTGTTTAAAGATACTTTATTTAGTATTTATTGTTGATTCATTAGCATCGAGCTCATGATCAGCAGCACTGCAACTCATTCCTAAGAAATGTGTAGATGTTCCTAAACTTCTCTAACACACATTTTTTTTTTTTTTTCTGTAAGATACATCACAGTCCTGCACTCTGGTGTTTGCTTGGGAGCCTTTTATGTGTATATATGCAGTACTAGGGATAGAATCCAAGGCATTGTGCACACTAAGCAAGAGCTCTACCATTGAGCTACATCTCCAATCATTTTTTAAAATTTTATTTTCAGAAAGGATCTTGCTAAGTTGCCCAGGCTGATCTCAAACTTGTGATCCTTCTGCCTCATCTTACCAAGGAACTGGAATTACAGGTATATGTCACCATGCCCGGCCTGCTTGGGAGTCATTTTAATCAGTAAATAATCACCAAAAAGCATAAAAATGTCAAAACATGTTACATAGACTGTGAAAATGCTACCTGTATACAATATGAGAGCTGAAAAAAGAAGGTAGAGGAACACCTTAATCCACCTCAGCTGGGGATGTGCACACTATGTGACTCAAAAATTTTTACCACTTTGCACATACACGTGTAAGGACACCTTTTCTTGAGAAAAGGTGACTATAGGAATGTGGACACTGCTAAATCCTGAGCCTGAGCCCTTGGTGGGGTTTGGGAGGGGCATGGGGCTCCATGGGGCTGTCCTCTACTGACCCTGCTCTCTATGAACAGTGAAGTTGCCTTCATACACTAGAAGCAATGGCTCCTTTACTTCCCTCTTGGTGGCCTGGCTTTTATCTCAGTGAGATGCAGTATGGGATTCTTAGTAGGCACCACCCTGCCCAGAAATACCAGCTATATGTCCTTTCCCTCCCACATGTGACCTCATGACTCAGAGCACCTACCACATGCCACTGTCCAGTAGACCTGTGAGTCCTGGGTCTGGTGCAGGATGCGGTAAGGGGCCACACGGGCGCTGGAGTCCAGCACCACGTCTAGGGTGCCCACGAGAAGACCTGGGAGCAGGGCAGAGAGATGTGGAGGGTGAGAGGTAAGCCATGCTGAAAGGTCCCTGGAGCTGAGCCTAGCCAGAGGTCATCAGGATGGCAGCCCCAGTACAAGGAAATAGACACATTCTGAATCATCACCCCCATGAGCAAACAGCTTCTCTTTTAAAGATCTTTGGCCAGAGTCTAATGTCTTTAAAAAAAAAAAAATCTCTTCCTATTTTGTCCTGGAAGCATCTGTTTATTCTCTTGCTTCAAAAACACTTGCAGGCAGGAGCACAATCAAGTTTTCTTTCTATTTTTTTATACTTGAGATTGAATCCAGGGGTACTTTACCACTGAGCTACATTCCCAGCCCTTTTGAGACAGGATTTCACTAAATTGCTGAGGCTGGCCTCTAACTTATGATCCTCCTTGCCTCAGCCTTCTAAGTCATTGGAATTACAGGTGTGTGTACCTGGCACACATGTAGGTTTGACAGAACCCAAAGTTAAATGATCCTGAGAGGTCCTCTTTCAGAAAAACATAAAATTAGGTTTGAAATCAAGTATTTCTTTTATCTTTTTTTTTAATATTTATTTTTTAAGTTTTAGGTTGACACAATATCTTTATTTTACATTTATGTGGTGCTGAGGATCAAACCCAGTGCCTTGTGCATGCTAGGTGAGCACAGGACCACTGAGCCACAACCCCAGGCCCATAATTCTTTTATCTTTGTGTGGTACTGGGGAACCCAGGGTCCCAGGGCATGTTAGGCAAGCATTCTACCACTGAGCTATATCCCCAGCCCCAAGTATTCCTTAGAATAAGAAAATACAAATGCAAATTAAAATATAAAGAACAATATCACAAAGTTCAGAAAAATAACAATGTGTTTTATTAATTGCAAGACACATCTCCTAATATATCCCCTTCCCTCCAACATTTCTGTCATAGAACTCTGGTTGCTTCTTACAGGACAATGATTTTGTAACATCACCTTCCATATCAAGAACAGGAGGACAATATTGTCTTTTTTTCTGCCATGGGATTACAAATTTTTATTTCTGAAAGGTTAGGGAAGTTTCTTCCAACCTCAAAAGCCACGGGCTAGAAAGGACATGTAAATTTTTAGAATTGCTAAATTTGGGAAAACACTGATTCTGTTTTCTTTATCTCTGAACCAAGGCATTTTAGGACAAGTTTTCTTTCTTGTCACATATACATACCCGGTTTGTAGTAGTGCTATCTCTGCCAAGGTCACTATTTCCTGACAAATCAGCAGGAAATATATATATTTTCTAACACTGTTTGTCTGATTCATTTCTCTTCATAAATTCAACAATCAACCAATCTAAAACCCTATTCACTATTCCTATTTGAAAAGTATTTCTTCCTTTTAATGAAGTGCTGCTTTTGGTATGCTGAAAATACATTGTTGCCATCTTCCTGTTGATGCTAGAAACAATTTCTATTGATTTTATTACTCTAGTTTTACAATTTGGTCCCTGACATATTCATTTTAAGATCCAATCTTTAAAAAATACAATGAACAATTATACTTTTTTCCCCCCCTGAAATGTGTAAGTTGCAAAAGGGCATATTTAAACTTTAACAGTTTGGAATAAACTTTTTTTTGTTGTTGTTGTTCATGTTGGTGCTTCTCTTCTGATCTCTGAAATTTTATTTTAGAGTCTCTAAACTGTTGGCATAACCACATAAAAAGATCTGAAAGCTTTTTTAAAACAGACTGATCATTTGGCACACTAGACTCTTTAAAGAAAAGTTCAGGGTGGTAAGGTTTTAAAAGATGACTTGAATAAAACTGGATCACTGATGGTTTATCTCCTGGGAGGACAGAGCTAGGGAGGCCACAATTATCTATAATGGCATAAGAAGGCCATGGCAGGATGTACCAAACCCAGCTGGGTGACGGGCAGGGGAACTCAAGGAATGGTTCCTTGAAGGATGGTCTGGGAATTCAGTCTTGGAGGACACAGAGAGATGAATGATGTAACAAGGGGTGTTTGTCATCAACTGTCTCCCTTTCCTCCCTGGGCTTGTAGTAGCTTCTGAGGTTAACTCCCACTGAACAGCTTAATTCTCACTGAACAGCTTGGTTCAGGAGGCAGGCCCAGTATAGATCCCTGTGATTCTCCAGGCCCTTTTGAAGGCAGCCTGAAGTACTAAAGGAAGAACATTGAGTTTTCTTGGAAACAGTACAGTCTCTCACACATGAAGAGGTGTGGCCCAGGAGAGGATGACCACAGAGGTCTTCTATTGGAAGCCTCCATCTGCATCTGCCAGGAATGTATCAGCTGAGACACTGAATATCAGAACATTTTACAGAAAATTCTCTTGATAAATTGGAGGATCTAGAAACAATGGGTCTGCATTCCTGCAGGGCAACACTCAGCACCTGAAGTACCAGCACTGGAGTCTCCCATTAGGCCACTTCTGGATACCCAGCTCAGTTCCAGCAGTGCCAGGTTGCAGGCACTGAAGCATGAGGGGCTTTGGACAACATCTGCTGAAGGAATGCCCAGTGGACTTCCCCCAAGTTCCATATACCACACAACTCCAGAGGCTCCCAGCCCAGTCTCCTGTGTGAATGGTGGTCCCCAGACCCACAAAGGGCTAGCTCATAGGAACACCCTGTACTGGTAATTAGGTAAAGCCATGGGTCAGTAGCTCTGATGTCACCAAGGAGCACAAAAGGTAGGTCAAGGATAGACGGAGAGAAGGGGGGCTGAGGCCAACAGCAGGGATCTCTGATCTTTATAAAAAAAAAGAAAAGGCAATTTTTTAGTGAATTGGTAATATCGACAGAGGCAAAAGAAAATGTGTGCTTGTGTCACTTGGCCCTCAGCAGCACTTAAGGAAACTGAGGCTGACGCAGAGGCAGAGTTTTGGGAGGTCTCGCTGATTTTCAGCTGCTAAATCCCACACACGCCTTGGCAAAGCACCGGGAGGCTCTCAGGCATGGAATCTCAGCAGAGGCCACTGCCAGTCTTCATTCGGTCGCCCTGGGTCGGCCTCCAAGTCTCCGAACCGACCACCTAGCCAGAGCGCATCTGCCTTGCTCGAGCCCCCAGTCCCCATCACGACCTCCCGCTAGCTCCCCACCTCGAGCCCCCGACGCCCCCGCCCTGTCTGCACCTGCCGCCTCTCGACCCTTCCTGGCCTCGCTTGCGGGTCATTCCG